CCTGGGTACCACCTGCTGCTTTAGTGTCTCTAGCTCACAGTTTTGTGACGAGCTGGGTGCTTGACAACAATATCCCTTTGAAATGGCAGGTATAGAGCTGAAGGTTTGGAAAAGCATTGCTCCAGCACAGGGTAATTGTCAATATGCATGAAGACAAGCTTCCTGAAGCTGGCTGGGGGCAAGAAAGGGGCAGCTCAGGTGGAAAAAAGGCACAAGGCACACCTGTGCTCTAAACCAGCTACCCAACAACTTGGCCCTTTGGATAGAGCAGCCTTGAGGTGGCTCTGACAGGCAAAGCACACAAATGCTGTGATAAGAAAACAACCCCCAAAGCAACAAACCGAATGTCTCACGAGGTTTAAAAGCACAGTTGTTCAGCCTTGCCTATTTGTATGGGAAGCAGGAGCTGCAGGTCCTGAACGTGGAGCTGGCAGGCAGCATAGGAAAGGAGAGGGAGGCGAGATATGTGGCTGAGGAATTTGCAGCCTTCAAGTTCCCTCTCTCCCGCCTCCTCCTCTCACAGGAAATGAAAGAAGCCTCTTTTGTGGAAGGAGGCTGGTAGGTGTGCATGCGTGAGTGTGTGCCTGGGAGCAGCCTGGTCTGGCTGTTCCCCTTCCCCGCGTGCGGGGCTCCTCTGGTCCCCTTCCCTGTGCTCGGGGATGCCGGGGCGCTCTGGGCTGGCTATTCTTGGAAGTTTCCTCATGTGTGTCTGAAAAGGTGGATCAGGCAACAGAAGTGGCAAAACCACCAACATGCTCAGGCCCTGGAGGACTGGCTTTTCACTTTTTTTTCTTTTTTTCTGTAAAACAACCTCCCCCAAACTTCTTCCTCCTTCCCCTCCTCCATTCTACCTTGCTGAACCGCAGGGTTAGAGCAGCAAAGCCTGAAACTGGAGGAAAGTAAAGGGCAAAAAAATGGCCATGGGCTTTATTAAGAGTGATGACAAGGACCAAGGCCAGCAAGACTGGCTGTGGGCATGGCCATGGACAGCTGCTGCTGCCCTCACCCAGGACTGAGCATGGAGCGGAGCAGGCAGCCAGCCCTCTCCACCAAGGGCGCCTGCTTTAGCCTCTGTTTCCACAATAACAGGAACAAAAGAATGGGCTGTTCATCCTCATCCCCACTCACTGCATTCATTACACACTGTACCTGCATGGCCTGGTGCCCTCTCCTTCAGGTGTCCTCGGGAGGGAGAGGGAAAGCATGGCTGGAGATTGCACTTTGTTATATCTCTTTGTTAGCAGTAAAATCATCCTCTCGCTGTGCTTGCTCCTGAGGGAGGTGGTAGTACTGGAGAGCTCTGAGTCCACAATCAGCCCTTCTGGTTTTCTGGGTCAAAAATAAATCCTGCATAAATAATATTTTCTGGAAAATAAATAAATTTTACTTTGCATGTTTTCTCTACAATAAAAGGTATTAGGTGAAAGAAAGGAACTGTCAGAGATGGTAGGAATCTCCCAAAGAAGGAAGAGTAAATCCAGCATTGCAAAAAAAAAAGATTGCATAGTGCCAAAGGAAAGAGGTGAATAAGTTGAAGTGAATTAAGAAGTGGAGCAAGTAATGTGCCATGTGAGTCAGTCCTGAGGTCTACACATCCTGAGATGTGTGTATGGTAGATGGGGTCTACCTTACACAGCAAGGTGGGAGAGGAAAAGAAGAGCAAATAAAGAAGAAAAAGGCAAGAAATGAGCCTGTTTAGAGATCTAAGGATTAAAAAGGAAACCTTTAGTAGAAATGGAAAACAGGGAGGCAACCAAACAAGAATATTCAGTCAGTTAAGGCTTGCAGGGAAAAGATAAGGGCAGCAAAAATGCAGAATGAGTTAATTATAGCCAAAGGGATTAAGGAGAATAAGAGGCCTTTTACAAATATATCAGGGGAAACAGAAACACCAGGTAGAAGGTGGGTCGGTTAATAATAGGTCAGAGTAGGGAAGGAAAATAATGAAACAAGGGGACAAATCATGCCAACAGCACTGTGGGCATCTTCCTGTTACCAGCCAGTCTGAGACCTCCAAACCATCATAACAGGTCCATTGCTGGTGACTGGTTTCAACCCAGAGACTGCCCATCCACAGAGGCAGATCTGAGCTACCATCACAGCAGAGCTGGGTGTGGAAGTGAATCTCCCCATGCAGTGCTGACACTTCCTACAATAAATCAATATGTTTTCAGAGATGTAATACCTCAGCCTGGCTTTTTGTTTTTTGTAGGAGGATGAAGAAAGCACACACATCGACCTTAGGCCACACATGTGGTGCAATGGCCTTGGAAGAAGACCTGGTAAAACACAGCACTGAGTGATACACTAACTGACCAACTAACTATGGGCTTCTCATCATCTCTTGTTCCTTGGCTTGGCTATTTCCTCTCTCTGCCTCTCTTACTTCCACTGAGAGCAACAAGAATAAAAACAAGTAAATCCCCTGGGGTTGAAAGCAAGGATTGGCAACTATTAGGACTTTGCAAAGCTTGCATCACACTGATTTATGGGTCAGATTCTCACCTCCTAAGAAATTTTGTGCAAGAATTTAAAATATTTTAAATATTCTGACGTCAGGATTTTGGCTCTCTCCCCCTACAGAACTAAAGTTTGGCTCCAAATGCCAGGTTTTCCACAGCTCCTATTAAAACAAAAGGCTCATTTAGTAAAACTACAGACTACTTGTGTCTTCTCAAAGTCAAAACAGAACCATCAGGAGACAAAAACTGTTCCACCAAGTGGGTGAGGAAACCCACCCCTCTCCTTTCTGCCTGTGGGCTCATTTTGCATACTGGAGCCTTTCCTTGAACAAGACCCCTCAGGCACCTTCCATCTGCCAGGGAGTCATGCAGTGAAACAAAGGGCCAGGTCCTCTGGAGGAGGCAAGGTGAAAACCTGCCTGTCTCTGTTTACCAAAGGGAGGGATGCTAGCAGGGTGAGAATGGGGGCTGGGACCACTGCAGGGGTGGGGACCATTTGTTCTCCATTCCCACCTCTCAGGCACTTTCCCCACCCTGCTATCTCCCTCTGATTTTCATGTCTTGCCAGCTTGGCTTTTGGAAATATTTTAAATAGATTTTTAGGAGGCTGCTGCTTTAAAGTGAATGGATGGATGGATGGATGGATGGATGGATGGATGGATAGGATAGATAGATAGATAGATAGATAGATAGATAGATAGATAGATAGATAGATACAGACCAACAGAGAGATAGACAGATGGTAGATAGATTCTATTTCTGAAAAGGTTCTGTGATCTAATTCCCTACAGCTCCATCCACAAAATTAAGGATTCTTAATCTGTAGAAAACCATGGATGCACATGAACAACCTTTACTCAGTGCCTTCAGTCCTTTATTCAGTGCTTTTTTTTAATCTTCTCCTTTACTCACCGTTTTTTTTCCTTCATCCCTACTGCATCTCCTGCTGAGAGCAGATAGTGAGGAGATACCTGGGGCCAAGTCCTAGGACACATGACAATCATATCTGCTCCCCAGCCACACATTTGCTCACTCAACCATGACAGAAATGGACAAATACAGCCAGAAAAATGTGTGGGACACCAGCACTAGAGACTGTCCTCCCATACTCATCCTACTTGGAGACCACACTAGTGACAAAAACAAGTCAGCCTTCCCCCCTTTTTACCTATGTTGCATGTTACAGGGTGAAGTTAATGCTCTCTATCTTCCTGCTGCCTCTGCACTTTCAACTCAAATACATAAAACTGAACAAGGAAGGAAAGGTTAAAATAACAACACTCCATTATAAATTATATACTGTCCTTTATAGGTATTCCTTTTTCACCATTGGCTCTTCCACCAGCATTATCTCTGTCGGGTGTTATGTTAGAGGGAGTCTCCAGGAAGATGAACAGAATACTGGATTTTATAAAAAAATAAAAATGTATGCCGCTGCTTTGTATTGCACCCTCAACAAATAACACACAGGTGATGCTTCTAGAGACAGATTTGGGTATGTTCCCCCATCTCTTGCTATATTTGCCCGGAAGTATTACAACATGAGTCCTCCCACTTTCTCTGTCCACTCTGGCACTCAAGGGCTCAAACAGGAGTGGCAGAATTGCAAAGTATTGCTGCTTCCCTGGCTCAGTCCCTCCTAGAGCAGGGACAGCATTCTCTTGCTCTCTGGACTCACACAGCTATTTTTCTCCCGTGCACAGAGATTTTGATGCAGTAGATCTAACCTGCTCTTATTTTTCTTCTCCTCCTGTGGCTGCCAGTTTCCCAGGACATGGTTTGCAAAATTTGGCCAGGAGAGATGATGTTGTGGGGAAGGAAAAGGAGTTAGAGCCCAATCACCAAAAACAGCAGCCACAGCAGAAGGCAGTGCTTTGAATGATCTCATGAATCACCCACATTATCTACAGTGAAATGCCTGGGAAGGGGTTTCCCATGTCCTACTCTGACCTGGAAGGGCCTGAAGGGCATTTTGATTGCCAAAGACAAAGGCTAAATTAGAAGGAAATGATATTTTATTTAACCTCTGCATCACGGTGGAGGGTAGAGGCAGGGGGTGGTGACAGAGGCAGTGGGATAATAGGGGGAATTCAGAAGAGATAACTCAGGAACATATGGGCTCTCACTAAAGCAGTGTGTCCCACGGAAAAGCCAATTTCCCTTGACATGCTGTCAGCCCCTGCTGGGGGAGGCCAGAGCCCCGCACGCAGCCCGGCCTGCCCTGCCAGGGCTGTGCTCTGCCTGCCACCGTGCTGTTTAGTGCCAAGACGGAGTTTCCTTCAGGGAAAGGGCTGTGGTAATTGTCTCTCTACACTGCTTTGCAGACGACATGCCAGACTTTGGAGCCTTATACAGGCAAATCTGCCGGGGACACCCCGACTTGGCCTGGAAGGCAGCGGGGGCTCCGAGTCCTCAGCAGGGCTGTACCCATTGGTACCGGCTCTGCTGTAGGTGTCCTGCTCCCAAAGTGTGGCCGGTGGCCACACTAAAAAAACCAGCATCACAATAGCTTTGGGGTGCGGAGTGGGGTGAACTTACCTCTTTGTTTACATGGCATTTTAGCTGCCAAAGCTTTAGATGCTTTGCTCACATGACATTGCTGTAGGAAGTTGCCGCAGATGTCCTGAGCAGCCAGGCAATGTGGTGGGTAGGTGGGAAGGGCTGTGGAGCAGGGAGGGACGGCGAGGGAAGGCAGGGAATGCAGCAGTGCCTCCAAGGGAAGGTGGGGCCCATCCCACCCTGAGTGGTGGGCTTTATGCAAGAATGCCCCAGGGAAGAGGTGGGGAGCAGGGCTGTGGAGTACAGCCTGCGGTGCCAGCAAGGTGAGGCCTGGGTGGTGCTGTCACCTCTGGTCTGCTGTCAATGCAGGGAAGATAACAAGGGTATCTGAACATCTCCAGTGCTTCTGTGAATCCCAGCCTTTTCAGGATTGCTCTCTCTCAAGTTTTTAGCCAAGCTGGAGGCACAAATAGGGTGGGGATCAGATAACAAGAGGCATGAGAAATGGCAAAGGCCTTCTCTATAGATCACCTCATCTGGTATTTCATCAGACCATGCAGGCCTACAATGGCACCTTTTCACTTCTTTTGGAAGATAGTTTCCCTACCTTTTATGCACCCAGGAACAGATTGTATTTTGCCCAGTATCTGTTTCACTGTAAGTAGAAAATAGTCATGGATGTCAATATGAGTTTTTACATGTGAAAAGAACTTAAAAGTGACACCCCCTCCTGTCTTCCCACCATACCAAAATATCACACTCAAAGATCCTCCTTCTGAGATCTGAATTCCCCCTTCACACAAAGTTCAAGGACTGAGGCTTGTTCCAAGCATTTCTATTTCAGACTCTTGGTCTTTGACCAAATCTTTGCATTTCAGGCTTGAGCTGAAGACCTGAGGATCATATTTGTTTGCATTCCCTTTGCACTTAGGGGCCCAGACACAGCCCCATACACGGAGATGTACAAAGGCAGCCTGTCCTGAGCAGGTTCTCCCAGATACGTGTTTCCTTAGAGGTCCTGGGTTTGGGGACAGGTCAGGCACGCACCAGTTTTCCAGCTCTGCTGTGTAGGGAACCTACAGCACAAATTGATCTGTGGGGAGCATGACCCAAAGTGTCAAAACAGGGCCTTTAACATTTTCCACTGCCACCAAACCTGTTTGACTGAATTGCAGGTTAAAAAGGCATTGTGTCTATAATTGTTGGGCTTTAGAGAGCATGTCTTTTCCTTTAATGAAATACCTTGCTCATTCCATTCGAAAAGGAACCAAAGACTTCTCAGGTTTATGATAAAGTTGTAAAAATTTTATTTACCCCATATTTCCTGCTGGGTTATTTACGAGGCATTTTGTCAGTTCTCATAAAACTGCCTAGTAAAATATATTTTTTTACAAAAAAAAATAAAATCATTTGTGCGGAACATCTTGAGAGCAGTGAGGACAGAGTTAATGGGATACACACACGTTCCGACCCTGGGAGAAAACAAAACAGAACGAAAGCCAGGCATTGTTGTGCTGCATTAGTTAATAATAGCTTTAGAGCTGAAATCCTGCTCCCACTGATGTTACTGGAAGTTGGTCCTTAATATAAAATAATCAGAGAACCAGCTGCCATGAATTACAGAGCCCCAAAATGAACCTGAAATGCATCAAAGCACCCAGAAGACACACTTCTTCTATTGAGATTTCACAGGAAACACCAGCTCAAGAAGTTTTTCTTTAACTTATGGTGGTTTAGGTTTATGTAAGTTGGGGATGGATGCAAATTGTCACTCAGTCTGGAACCCCAGGTTGGTTGATTATTAATACAGTAACTTTTTCCTAGTTAAGGGTCAAGAGACATGACATGCTCCTTGATGTAAACCTGGAGGAAATCCCATCCTGGTAGTTGCTGTCGAATAAACAGCCTGGGCACAGGAAAAGCATGACCCACCCACTCCAGGCACAGCTGGAGTGCATTTGCCTCTCTTGGAGTACAGTTTTTCAGTTTTGTATCACATGTTTGCATCTGCTCAGTTCTCTGTGGTCTAAACTTTTGCTTTTTATTCCAGCAGTGCTCATGTTCCCTAATCCCAGTGGCAATCTTGAAACACAAACTTTATTGTGCAGTATTACCCCAACACCCTTCATTTCAACCCTTGCAGCTTCACTCCAGCCACACTTACCACTTGCAGATAAACAGGACACAGGTAAAAAGTCCTTTCCATGTGGCAGGCTTGGCCTGGCTCAGTCAGGAGCTCAGCAAAGGTATTCTAGCTTGGAGGCATCAGAAATATAAAGGAAAGAAGAAAATAATGAATAAAAGACAAAAAAACCGTACAAACAAAACAGGGGAGGTTGTTTTTAAAACAAAAAGACCTGGGTGCTGGGAAGCTGTCAGAGGTCTTTTGTTCTGTGCCTGTGCAGCACTTTGCACAATACAACCCCAAATTACAGCTGAGCTCTTGCTCCTGCTACCCTGCAAACATTAAGAAGCAGTAGCCAAGTATGGGAAACAGGCAAGGAGCCAGGTTTGCAAAGGTATTTAAGTGTGTAAAGACACAGGGGGATATTTATTTACATATGTTAGTAGAGGTCCTATTTCCTACAGGAGCCAAAGGGCATTAGGGTCTCACTCCAGCAGTTTATCAGTAGCACCAGGATCTATGTCTTTAGATACAGATGGAGCTGGGCTTACCACTCCTCTCAATATGATTTGTTTTTTAAAAGCCTCTTTCATCATGGGGTTGCTCTCTATGTGTGCATTGCAGTGCAAGGTCCTTCCTCAGCCACAGAACCTGTGACTACATTTAGCAATGACAGGTCCATGCTGCTCTGGGCTTGTGCAGATGTTGGGCTGCACTTTCCTTTGGCACAGCTGTATTTCTCTTGGGAGGCAGGGAGGTCGTGAGGTACCTGGGTGATCCAGGGGCCTGGAGCTACCCAGAAATCCCTCTCAGCCTGCTCTTGGAGAATGGAAAGGGGGGGAACTGTCTGTTAAACAGAACAGGGGGGACTCCCTGGAAAACACCTACATAGAGTGGGATGTACCAGGCCTGAGCTTTAACAAGCAGTTCAGGAACTGGCCGCAATTTTAACAGTTTAACCAAACTGGACCAAACTTCCTCCAGCTTAGCCCTGATGTAAGTGTCTGATAGACCAGAAAATACCCTCCAACTGCTCAATTCTCCCTAGACTGAACTAAGCCCACTACACTAACTCAGCAAGCAAATTCAAGTTGGACTCACCTGGAATATTTGTCAGTTGTCTAGAAATAAATGCAGTGGAACTCCAATGTTGTAGTCTGGAGAGGAGAGAAGAGAAATGCGTCTAAAGGCTCTCTGGATGTGACTTGGAGTGTTGAGTAGCTGGAGTTGGAGAAGGAAAGCCATTTCTATTCCAGATATCAAATAAGCTCTCAGGAAAATTCATTCTAGAGCTTAGTTAATTTAATAAGAGAACACCTTTGCCTTCCAGCTTTCAAGAGGTTTTTGGCATCCTCTACAACCAGCAAGTTAGTTGTTCCAGAATCAACAGTTTTGGTCAATGACTGACAAGGAAAGGCTGCTTTGCCTCAGTGCACCAGGAAGAAATGAGCAGACATGTGGCAGACACCTTATTTGCACTGGTGGGACTAATGCTTTTGAGGCAGTTTACGAAAGGTGAGCTGGCAGGATGTTAGCATACTGCATGCTTTAACAAACCCCTGGTGATGAGAGAGCTGCTGGAGACCAGAGCAATCTAGCCCAAGAGGAATGTTTCTCTCCATTCCACCAGACCTTGCCTATTAATGGGGCAAATTCCAAAATTAAAACTACAAAAAGCACCTCCCTGTGCTCCAGGCAGGGGTCAGAACATATGGTGCTTAAGCTCTAAAGCTGGCTGGTGCTGTCTTTAGGAGGGGAAACATGAAAGGACAGAGATAGTGGAGATGTGCAATGGCCCATGCTGAGGTCTCTGAAATGCTGCCATTGATGGGGGTCCTTGTCAAATCATTCCAATCATATGGGCAGACCCCAGGCTTGTAGCTGCCCCTCAATTTTTTAATTCTTTGCAACAGGCTGTGTTATTTCTCTTCTCTGCTGCCAGTTGGCATCAGAGACCAACTTATCCACAGCAAACACAAAAATTTGGGATGTCTGAAGCCAGGCAGGACCCTCATCTAGAGAACACTCTGCGGCTGTTTAATAAAGTTAAGAGACCAGAGAAGCATCCAAGCTTTCCCACCGTAGTAAGAGAAGATGAAATTCTTTAATTGTTTGTGTTTGAGTGAAACTCATATAAAAAGAGGATTTGGGATTCTGGGGAAGCTTTAGAGTGGAGTCTGACCTTAAGCCATGTTTCTGAACAGCATCGCACGCTCTCACACTGTGCTCCCTGCACCCACTCTGGGAACTCAGCCCTCACTCACATCCCTCTAACTCAGGCACATGGAGGGATTCAGGGAGGCAATAGATATTTTATCCTATAGTTAGTACAAGATCTTTTGGGGCCTGTAGTCCAGGCAACTTAAAAGAAGCTGTGCCTCTCCTGGGCAGACAAACATGCAAACACTCTGCATCCCATTACTGCTCAATTATCCAGTTATGCAGAAATCATAAAGTGGTTTGGATCCCAGGTTGGGGTCTCGCCTTAACCCCAATTTGAGCACATCTGGAGTGTTTAACCTATTCTGCTGTCATTCTGCTCCACACTGTCCTTATCCCAGACTTATGCTCAGACTTTTCCAAAGAGTAGCAAAAGGAATAGACAAAGTTCAGCATGTGAATTTGACTTTGAATGACAGGAATCTCATAGGACAATCAGTTTTCATAATTCTGTCCTCATTTAGAATTGAAGTTCCATGAGCCTGCTAAATTAGCTGCTGTTTAGACTCAAACAAAGTCCTACCTGGTAAAATCCACCCAAATTTGGAAGCAGTAGTGGTAACTACTAGAAATCTAAGAACACAGGCAGAACAGCCATCAGCCCAGATGCATACTCGAAACAACAGTAGAAGGATCTGAATCTTTCTAAACCACAGACAAGCTCATTAATGCTGTAGTCAGCCTTTGTGTCATCTCTCAATCTTGATAAAAACAAAGTAGGTTTTGGTGGTGTTGGTTTTCAGTTAGTTGGGCTTTTATTTGCTTTAATTGGGAGATACAGGGACCACTAGGAGCTGTTTTAACTTTTTAAATTTGAAAGTCCTTATTGGGTGGGAACTCTGCCTTCCATCCTTCACCACCTCACATTCACAAGTCACTTGTAGAGGTGATGAGAAGCCTTTCCCTTACAGATTGCATGAATTTTGTTCTACTTGAGATATTGTGGCTTTGGATATCATCAAAGCTGTGGCACAAGCACAGTCTTGAAGGTAAAACACAGAACCTTTCTTTGGCTCAAAAGATGCCAGGATACTTGCCCTCAATTGCCATCTGGCACAGTGGAAATCTCAGAGACAGAAAGAGCAGGTAACCAAACTGACAATAGATGAAAAAAGCCAATCATCACAGCACTGAGCACTTACTGCTTTTCCTAAAATTTCCCTCTTTTAACCTACTATACCTGTATGAGGAATACCTAGAGACTGGGGCATTTCAGTCTGGAAAGTAAATGAGAGAGTAAATGATCATAGAAGGCTACAAAATGCTGTGTGGTACTGACAAAGGTGAATCAGGAACAACCATTGAACAGCTTTTATGGCAAAGGTAGGGAGCAACTGGGGAAGCTGGGAGGAAGCAGACTCAGTGCAAACAGAAGGCAAGTGTCTGGGCACTGTGTGCTACAGCCTGGCCCCACTGAGTCTCTGTTTTGAAAAATAATCCTGACGAGGGATACCAGCCCTGACGAAGCTGGGCTGAACAAGCACCAAATCTCTGCATGCTCAGCTGAAGGGCAGGTCTGGTTAATGACAGGGAGCCTTTGTGAGGGGTTGTCTCAACTGCAGGGAAGACAGATGCTTTCAGTCAACCCTAAAAAAATAATTGTAGCTTTTTTCCCCCTGGAAGTGACATACAAGTGGATTAAGAGCCTTCCACCTTCTCGTAATCTTGGATGGCAGGAATGTTTATCAGTCAAAGCATGGCACAGGCTGGTTCAAATTCTCATGCTGCTATCCTGGTTTTACCAACAGTTTATTGCATGGCATTACAAAACACATCTAAGGTCTTGGCATATATATGATGGGTGCCAATCAAGCCAGGGTTCTGTAGTCTAAACTTTGGCTCAGCTTGAGAATGTCGGTCTTTGCATGCTGATATCTCAGGAGGGTGGGACTTCCCCTAACACTGCAGAGGTTTAAGGGTGCCCGAGTGTTAATTATGCACATTTGAATCAAACTGAGTAAAGTAACCCCGGTTTTTCAGGGTAAATTGGCAGAAGGCAAAACCATCTGCAAATGGAGAAATGCAAACAAGGAGGAAAAAGTCCAGTTTTGCATCCTGAAAGAAAATGCAAATCTTAGTGTTTGGGTTTTTTTGTTTCTACTTGAGTTTCAGTGCTGGTCTTCTCTGATTCTACACCTTCTGGCACAGGAATGAAACCAGTCTAAGTTCAGTAACTGGCCAAGGAATGCTCTGGCTTTCTGAAGACCCAGCCTACTTGGTTAGCTCTGTTTCTGAGACAGAGAAACAGCAATCTTTCTACTTTTAACATCAATAACACCAGTTATTCTCCCAAAGAATTATTATCAACAATTCCCTTGCTATATTTACAAAGAAGCTGGGCTATTCTTAGAGAAAACACTAAAAAAGCCATTTTATTTAGCTTTCTTGGCAGTTATACAAAAATGTAAGGAATGTAGTCAGTTAAAAACATCAAATCCCCAGCACGAGCCTATAAGAGCTTTCTAATGCATATTTACAGTATAGAAAGCAACCACTTTTCTATTTTGTAGAACAAACAGGGAACCTTCTCTTTTCCTCCTAGCTGTTCCTGAAGACCAAACGTTAAGTTAGACACAGAATGTTGCTTTTAATGGTGTGGGTTGTAAACTGCTAACACCTAGAAAATGGGACTTTATATTACAGCCTTCTTTTCCTAAAAAGGAATCGGAGGCAAGTTTTACTGCTGGTTTTAGGAAAGTTCTGAATTGGCAGCCCAGGGTATCCAAATACTGCTTTAGCCACAGCTTGGTTTGCCACAGGGAACAGCAGTGCTAACTTCTTCCATGCTGGTGTTGGCCCAGGCAAGGGCATGCACCCCAGAGAGGCAGGGACTGGGGAAAACACTGTATTCCCATAGGGACCCAGCTCAGTGTGGAAACACCAGCAGGGGACTGTCTCCATAACCATCTCCAACACCATCTCAGTACTTTGCTCCAGCCTCTGAATACCAATAGGAAGAATCTCTTAGAGGCATTACTTACTGCTTAAGAAGGAGACTGTGTGGGGCATCCAGATCACAGCTTTCCTGATGATGCTGAAAACAAACAAACAAACAAAAGACAGGCAGTATTGCCTCAGATTTTGGGGTGGGGGGTTAATGAATTCATATCTTAGAAAATGGAAAAATGGACAAATGCCAACAATGTTACTTGTATTGCATCAAGCCCAAAAGATTCCCAAATAGTTGTGTCAATACATCCCTTAAAGAATAGTCTTTCTCACTTTCTTCACAACAAAACTCAGTCATTGGGATTTTGTAAATTAACTGGTATAGACAACATACTGCAAGGGATAATCCTCTACAGGTAGGATTTTTTTTTTTTCCCAGTTATAACTAAAAAAACCCTCCATTTATTTCTTAAGTTTGCCAGTTTTGGAGACCTGCTGGTCTCCTGAGCCAACTTAAAACTGAAGATCTGAAAAAGCTCCAGATACCATTCCCCATACTTGAAATTAGCTCAGGTCTCCCAGATTAGAGGGAGGCTGGAATCATACTGCCCTATCCCAACCTCTGAACATTTGTTGCTGTTCTGCTGCTAGAAAGCCTGTTGTTTAAGATACATTTTCAGTGGGTCCCTCCTGAACCTTCCTCAGGGAGATGATAAAACTGTTTTGAAGTTCTCTACAAGGTTTTGTTTTTATAACCAATATTCATTTAATTTATTTGGATTATTATTTTTAATTTTGTGATCCTTATGTAAGATAATGGCCGAAAAGGTCAAAATCCTTCCTTGACCTACATTGAATCAGTGCTCCAAAACTGGAAATCTGTTTGGTTTCCTTTGCCCAAATGGCATTGGCCACAGTCTTGAAGGTTCTATCATTGTCCTCCCAAGCAAGGGTGCAGTCTCCCTCTTCCCAGGCTGTCCAAATGTGCCACAGTCCTGACACTGCAGTGGGAAACAAATATATCATCTAGTCATTTTGCAAAGCAACATACCAGGATCTGACAAATTAGCCCTTCACAACACCCTGCTGCTCCACTGGCATGAGCTAAAACCAGCAGGAGAGCAGCTTGGCTCTCGCTACCCTGCCACGGAGCAAGGCAATGCCAGGTCGGAACAAATCCTAATATGGCCCATAATCCCACTGCAGTGAAGGGATAGGACCTAGGGGAGTAATTGCTCCTTGAAGCAGATGATGCAACCCCAGTCAGGATTTCTATGGGCTTTTGTGATTTGTACCATAACCACATGCTTCTTTTTCTACTTCAGAGTGATCAGAACTGAGCAAGGCCTCACCCAGAGAAAACCAGGCAAGAAAAGAACCACAGTTGAAGCCATCACAAGGGAAGGAGAGACGCTTCAGCCTTTAGCTTCCATTTGCTGTCATGTAACAGTCTCATCATTGTAAGAAGTGTCAATAAGATATCAACAGGGTAAACAATTTCAGACAGATTTTCACAGAGCCAGTTGACTGGACCATGGCTGCTTCTTACACAATGCCAATGCAGTGTCATTTCTAATGGGGGAATTTATACAGTGTAATTATGTCAGAATTTGCTCCAGGCTACACACTGTTGCATTATAAACCTGGCCATTGCCTGTGATTAGTCAGAGCTTTAAATAACACTGAAAGTAGTTATATCAAGCCAGAGGGAAAAAAGTGGTGCATTCCAGTGCTTGCCACATACCAGCCCCTGAAGGGGATTAGCTAACATGATGCCCCTTTATTGCTGGAACTTTTGATACCTTAGGTCACATCCTCATCACCTGAATCACCTCACAAACCATTTAAAGACCTTAGTTTGGCCCTTGTAATTATGGAGCACAGACTTCATGCAAGTGACAAGATTCCCAGATGATTGGCTGTAGATGGATGGGATTGAAATGCAAAGAGATGGAGGCTGCCTCACATAGCAGCGCATGGCCAAAGGGGCTTTGCCTCAGAGAGATTTCCTGGAATGTTTGTAGGCAATATGTGGATGTCAGGCATTCTGTCACCAGTGACCTGAGGATTATGGGCAGGTCTGGCTGCAGCAAAAGGTCACGTTTGCATCCTGATGGTGGTACTGGAAAAACCGAGGTTCCTCCAGGCCTGCATGAGCATGGCATCACATTGCCAATACTCTGCAGAAGTGAATGCTCCATCCACATGGGACAGAAGAAGGATCTAAAAGAGAAAGTAATCTCTGGATGAAAGGTGAGCAGATTGCAGGGTTATGTGATACTTCTACTTTACATTTTTTGCTAAGAGCCCTAATCATCTGGCATCCGTAGATCCCCATTGCCGAGAGAGAAAACAAATCCAAGTCACGCTAAGCTTCAGTTCTGTGATGGGGACAGAGCTGGCTGATACCTTCCTTGCTCTGGCTCTGGCCCCATATGGCTGTTACAAGCTATTCTGCTTTGTAGCAGCTCTCCTGAGGGCTGTTATAATGATTGAGAATTGACACCATACAGCATTTTTAGTCTCTCTCAGACCTGCCTTCATTTCTTGCTCTGTGTCACAGAGGGTGCTACCCTTTCACTTTACTTTCTCTTTCCACTAAATGCTCACTTGGACACGAAGCAATGTGTGGAGAGCTCCAGAGCTCATGGGATGAGGCATCTGAGATGTTGCAGCCAAATTGTACTGAGTCACAACCAGAAATGGTGCTATTGCTGGTGCCTTACAGTGTCTGCTCTAGAAGAGGCAGAGACACTCAAGGCTGTACAGACACACTTGTAGAAACTGGTAGGATAATTCATGAGAAATCCCCACTACTTCTTCCTGACCTGAAGAGCTACAGTACCAACAATTACTTGTGTATCCTGGTATTTCTGCTTTCATCTGGGATGGGAATTACACCAGGTGTACACCAGTACACAGAAATAAGAGAGTGGTAGAAGATTAGCCAAATATTTTTTTTTGCTGAGATTTTAAAAGTTGCCTTTAATTTTATGAGCCAGCATTCAGAATAGTTTTCATTTTTTCTGGACTGATTCACTCTTCCCCTTTCTTTGACCTGGTAGAATGGTGACTGAAGCTCTAGGCTGTGCATCCTGTTCCAGCTGCAGCCAAACTCTGTGTGGAGTTGTCTGTCCACAGCTGCTTTTCATGGCTCTCATCCAGAGGTTGCCACCTCTTCTGATCTGCCAGCACAACTATTTGTGCTATCACTATTTGTGTCATTACTTCCCCAGCTCTGTCAAAATAGTCCTGCATACAGAAGGCTGAAATTAAATGGGCTTTAAATACAGATACCACACAGGTATGCTGTATTGCTGGGATGGGATTAAGGGAAGAGCTGCAGTTAAAACAGCATTTTCTGGTCAATACATTGAATAAGAACCAGAACAAGCATCCATACAAGATATATAATGCACCAGCGTTAAAGGAACAGGGTTGGAGAGCAGCAGCTCTGCAGCATCCCCAGCCAATCTCTCTGCTGAGCACACTCTCCTACTTGGGCTCCCTCTTTTCCCCTCCTTTTCACTTCACCCTGTAAAGAGCTGCCTCAATACACTGAGCTGGCCATAAAACCTATGGAAACCAAAAATTGCTTTCATTTTTCTGCTCAGCATCCTGAACAGGCTCAGAGCAGCATCCAGTGAACCCCAGAGCTGGTGAGAGGAGGGAGCCACAGCCCAGATACATTGCTGTAACAAGGTGTGTCTCTCTAGCTCTTAGTCACAAAATCTGCATTTCCAAGCTGCTGTGAAAATAAAAGAGGCTGTGGGCAACAGAGAGAGGGAACTGAACAGATGTAAATTTGTGTTTTAAATGAGAGAAAGAGGGTGGGGTGAAGAATAAAGGGCAGTGAGAAGAAGGATGCATTTTTTGAAAAAAGTACCATTGTATTATAGGACAGGGTATCTCCTGAGTTACTTGAAGTCTGATAATTTTACATCCACTTCTGGATGGTAATTCCTAGTCATTTTAGCTCATGTCAGCAACTGTTCTAAAAGCCATCCTTGTAAAATTGCTGCTGTATTTACCAAAGTGCAGTCACATTATGTGCATGTATTGTCTGTTGACTGGAAAAAGGAAGTAAAACCCAGTACCTCCATCAAATTTTCCATCTGAGGTGCTTTGTCTCAGTGTAAGCAGTTCAAAAGTGTCATGAGTGGAAATACTACTCAGCACTGCACTGGGAGCAATGAAAGCCTGTTCTGGCTGGGGCTGTCTGTTGGTGCTGCTTTCACTCTGACCATCAGAGTGCTGAACTGGCAGCCCTGGTTCATAACACTTGTGCAGGTTTCTTACCACAGCAGAGAATTGAGAGGTGGTGTTGGCTTAACATTGCCAGTGCCCAGGATATCCAGCCTGTCTTGCCCAACAAGAAGGGTAAACCAAGCAACGTTTCATTCTGAGCTGTTTTCCTCCTCCACTGTATAGAATTTCTGAGCATGGCAGATGGGGGATGCTCCAGTGACAAACTGCGCTGGTGACACATGGCTCTGAGGGCCTCTGTGCTGGCACAGTGTCTGTTCTGACACACCTCAGGAAAGATTTCAGGGGTCTTCCAGCTACCCTGCTTGAAGGAGAAAGAGAAGTTAACTTTTCTTACTTCCTTAGGCTTCTATTAATAATCACAGAAGTCGCAGTGCTACAGCAGCCTGGGGCAAAGCAAAACCCCACTGCACAGGGCCTTGTACCTGCAAGAGCAAGTAGAGCAAAAGACAAGCCAAAGATGTGTGTGGGCACAGATGCTCAATGTATAGCCCTGTATTCCTCTCCCAACACCTCAGGTGTTGGTGACCATGGCTCTCAGATGAGAGAAGCAAGCTTTGCTCTGGGGAGTGACCCAAAGGCCTGTGAAGTCTGTCCCCAGCCCTGGAGTACCCCTGAGTCCCTCTTGTTCCTCTAGCAGTAATAGAAGCCTGGCATAGCTTTGCTGGGGAACAAGCAAGGCCAAGCAGCCTCTGATACTGCCTTGTGCCAAATTATTTTGGTCCCTTTTACATGGAGTTGGAAGAAACAGATCCCCATAAATGAGGGGGTACATGGGCCATCAGAGGCATCAGTCAGTTGGTGCCAGGTAGGCAGTCAGGGACTTTATTAAGCCTTGGCTTAAATAAAACTCCCATCATAGACTGCACCAGAGTTCTAAAGGCACAGAGAAGATGGATTCAGCAATTTGAAAAGGACACAATTTCCCTTTTGTTTGCCCTTCTTTAGCTGTTTGTCACCTCTCAAACACCAAATTTCTTGTGTTGCAGAGATGCCTGTAATATTTGGAGGAGAAGCACTTTTGGGGTGGGAATCTCAGGTGTGCTGAGCTACAGCCTCACAGTCACCTGCACCACAGCCATCAAACCTGGAGGGAGCCTGCAGGAACTGGGAGGTGGCATTGATTAACCCGGTGGAGCCCAGGTACCAGTGAGGAGACAGATCAAGGAAAATGAAATGGAGAAAAATAATTGTTTTATTCTCCTATACTAACATGGCCTAAAAAGTTAATTGACATGGCTTTTCCCTATCTCTTGAGCTTTTCTGAAACCTGTGGTTTTAAGTGCTAAAAAGTGAAATTGATGAAGTGATGAATGAAATGTGATGAGGTGGAGCAGTTGGGGATAGACCAGGACAAGGAGGAGAGCAAGAACAAAGGCATACCAAAGAAAAGGGAAGAAAGATTGGTGGAAGGAGAAGGCTGTGGTATAGCAAAGAAACCCCTTCAGCAACAGCATCCTGGGAGCAGCAGCCAGCCAGCGTGGCTTGCTCCCGGCCTCCAGCCTTGTCCAACTGCAACAACATCTGTTACACTTGAGCTCGGCTCAGTTAGTGGCATGTTTGTTTAATTGTGGGCCTGGTTTGTTATTTTGCTTCCCATTAGTAAGCTGAAGAAAGAAGGAGGAGGGTGTTTTCATTCTGGGGAGCATTTTGCCAGGACAATGAGGTTTTTTTCCATGGCACTGGGTAGTCAGAACTAGCTGTACTGCTTCTCGCAACAAGGCAGACGCCTCCAAAGCCCATTGTTCAACCTGATGCATTAAGGGCTCACACTTGTAATTTTGGCTCTGATCCCCTTTGCCCATTGTGTGAGCAGAATGGAGTGAAAAAGGAGAGTCTGTCCTCTTTATCTGGCAGCAAGAAAAGGAAGCAGCAGTGGTAGCAGTGACTCCTCTGCTCGCCAAGGTTTCAACTCTCCTGTGGCAGTGGTGGGGAAGGGGGGGTTGGTGAAATCTTCCCTGGTCACTCCCAGGAAAGTCACCCAGCTTTCAGTCTGCTGTAATTCCTTGGCCTCCCTCCAATTTTCCCAAATTCATCACTGTCTATTTTGGAAAAATGACTTCTTCCTGCCTGAACATTCAAGCTTTTTTGTTTTAATATAACAGAGAATTGTTGAAAGGGGAATTTTCTAGTGCTGAACAGCAGCCCTGAAACCAGTACCCTCTGCTGCTCCATGCACTGCTGTCAGAGAACAGCAGGAACAAATTCCCAAGCCACTGCCCCCACTGTGTTTTTTCTCCAGATCTGACCAAGGTGGTGCAAAGGGCATCCATGACATGAATATCTCCTTCCTGTGCCAGGGATGGTACCCAAGGCCCCTGAGAGATATTGGCTTGTCAGGAGCTGGCATGTGCAGACATATCCTGGTGTGTTTGTCTTGCTCAGAGGCAGGACAGCGACCAGGTTTCTGACTCAGCACCAAGCACAGACCTTTCTGACAGCAGAAAGCATGTCCTCGCAGCCACTGGGACAAAAGAACATCAGGAATGGTTATGGGACAATATAACTTTGTACAGTGCAGTTCTGCTCCTTCATTATTGCTCAAAACTAGAGAACCAACTCAAACCACTGGACCCACTACTGCAGCAACGTGCTGAACTCACAAGTGACACTTCAGACATCTGCTTAAAAAAACAAAGCAAGAAACCCATTTCCTTAAAATTATGGCTGGATTTAAAAAAATTAACAGAACATCAGGAACTTAAATATAAACTTAAATTATTAAACAGGCAATACAAACAGAGCCCTGACTTTGCAAATATTTGCATATGCAAAAACCCTGGGTACTTGGAGCTCAAGGGCAAGGATTCCATATCTAAATATACTTTTGAGGACCAGCATCTGCCAGGACACTGTAAAAGCTTTGGGGTGTTACAGCAGGGATCCTCTGCTGAGCCCCAGCAGGGGCCCACATCTGACCAGAACCTCATTAGCAGAAATAAAATGTCTTGGATTTTAAGCAACCTGGACAGAAACATCAGAAAAGCAATGGGGGGAAAAAAATTACAGTAAAGTCAGGAGAGAGATGCAGGTTTTGAAGACAATTACAAAATGCTTCCCAGCTTTATTGTTGCAGAATTGAGAGTGTCCAGCTCTGCTTTGGCAGCACTGTGCTCTCCATGTCTGTCCTCCAAGGAAGGACCCAGCCACACCTGGTTGCACTGTGTGGATCTCAAACCTCACCCTCAGGCCTGTTGGCTCCATGTTACCTGTTGAAAAGGAATTTACTTGACTGCATTTGTGGGACTGCAGTTGATCCCTGGGCTGAAACCAGCACTTCAGTCACTCCCAGAGTCTCTCTGTGCCAGCTGCATTTGGAGCTTGGTATTTTGGGTAGCTGCCCCAGCTGGTGGAGGTTTGGGCAGAGGAGTCTTGCCCCCTTTTGTTCTGGCTAAGCATGATCTGACCTGGGAAGGGAAGGGGGACACTTCGATGGGCTTCTTCCTCCAGCACCTGAAATCCAGTTATGTGCTGGCAAACTATGGTAGGAACTTTAAATAACTAGGAGTCTTGGTGTCAACTATTAAAACTCACTTTACTAATTCCATCCACATAATTAGATGTCTAACTCAAATTAGATGCCTTGACCATCAGAAACTACAGCTTCCAGCCCCACAGCTCAGGAACTATCCAGGGGTAATGGAGGATTTCCGAGGTATTCCTGTTTCTAAAGATCAATCTCTGCTGGTTTCAGCTACATTTAACAGCCATGCTAGTAGGACAGGACTCTCTTTTCCTTCCAAACATGTGCCTCTTACATTTTACACCATCTTGCCATGCCTATCTCAGTGCATGACCTTCAGGGACAGGAGGCATCATCATACCTGCTACCTTTGCAGAGGAGCACATCCACCTCAATTGTCAGCCAGGTGAAAACAGCAGCATCTTTTCCTTGTGGCAGCCACACGTGAACAGACTGACCCAATAAAAACACTCCCCTCCACAGGGCAGAAATCCAGCCTTAGCTCCAGCCTTGCTAGCCACGGCTCACTTGACTTTCTGTGCAATGTGAGATGTAGTTTGCTAACCTATTCCAAGGCAGTGGAGCCTGTGGGTGCTGCCTGTGTGAATGCTGTAAGCCATGGAAAGTAAATTTATTTGGGGTCTGACACTGAAACAGTTTTATGGGACACACTGCAGTTCCCATGTACTTGGGCAACAGTTTCAATCTCCAACAGGACCATTGGCACAACAACCTGTGGTCAGAGGCTCAACAGCCCTGTAGCTTAACTTGATTGTAAGGTCTGCACGGAGCAAATATTAACGAGAGGTCTCCGTGCTGCAGGGCTGACTGAGCAGAGGCTGGGTTACAGAGCAAGTGTCCATTAGTGCAGGAGGCAGTGCAGATGTTATCTGGCTGCAGTATTATCCCTCACTGTCCTAACTTCACTTTGGACAGTTAAGATCTTGATGACATTATGAGCAGGGCTAAGGGCAAACCGTGGCCACAGCCGGATTAGTGGCACACGCAGGGCCTGCCTGCCTGGGGAAGCGCTGTCTGCTGGCAGTCCCTTGCTGCTCTTGCTGCTCCTTCCCTGGGCTGTCCCATTCCTTCTCTGCAGAGTAGTGCCCCGTGGCTGTACCAGAGCAATTCCTTGCAAACCATCACATTGAAATAAGGGGAATTTAAATAAAACCACCGAGGAAAACACATGGCCCAGTTACACACCCAGCCACAATAAGCAGCAGGCGGAGAGACATTCCCTGCTTTGCTGGGTGAAAGGTGTGATGGCAGGATAACCTCTCCCATGGGTTCAACCCCGCACCTCCCAGCAAAGCTTTTACCACCCTCAGCCCAGGGGCGGGTGATGTTTGCTTAAGCTCAGGCTGGTTTCACGTTTTCACAGTGATATGATAATTGCATTTAGATAGCCCTGTCTCTCTCTGCTGGGCTTTCACAGGGCTCTCCTGGCCTCCAGCAGGGCTCATTTAAAAGTGGCTTCTCAATGATATGCCACACTGTTTTTAAAAAGAAACAACCAACAGTGGCTCTCTAGAAAAATAACAGAGACCCAATTACAAGCAAATGTGTTGAAGGGTCCCAGGGCTGTCTGTGGGCAAATTAGGGCCAATTAAAGGTCAAAATGATTTAAGGTATAAGGACAAGAGAGAGAAGGGAAACAATTGGTCAGATTCCTGCACAGAATAAGTGTCTGCTGCTAGGTTTGAGTATGTTTCAGCACCCAAACAGTGGATAAACTTCAGAGTTGAGGTTTTGCCTGGTTTTTAAAGTGGGTAATTTTTACTTTCTCTTCCATCTATGCTTGAGAAAGTGCTTGGTGTGCTCACAGTCAGCAGTCTGAATGAGTTCCGTTGTCACCCAGAAGCTGTGGGGAGGATGTTCTCTGGCTGTCCCTGATATCTAGAGGGGAAGAGGGGACTCAAGGCAATACTGCAGGTCCTCACTGGCCAAGTTACAGCTGGGGCTTGGATCGGCTGTTTCATCAAATTTGTTGAAGGCAATTATTTCCTTGGTGGAGTTGGATGGCTCCCCAAGGGAAATGGTGACAGCCATGCTGGGTGACAGCCCTGTCCCATCCCTCCACTTCCCCTCCCACCACACCACTGCAGTTCTGACCTCTGCCTGTACTCCTGTTGGCTCCATGACCTCCCGGCATGTCCATGGACAACCTGGCCATGGCTGTTTTGGGCAGATGGACTGCTGAGCCTTTACACTCACCTTCCTGCAAAGGCAGCTTGAAATGCAGGGCTGCATGTAACCCTGAGGCGTAATGCTCAACCACATCATTAAAAATTTTTTTCAGCAAGTCTTCTCTTTGGGATGTTTGTTTGGAAGTGCTTAAACAGTCATACTCAAGTGAGGTGCACAACACTTCTGAATGAAACTGTCTTCCCTCCTGCTACCCCAGCATCAAAGCAAAAGGAAAAGCAGCTTTCCCCTCCCTCATTAGGATGTCTGTTTCCATGCCCTCATAGATGAGATCATCTTCACCCACTTGAAAAAGCTGAAATCTCATCCAGAAATGGTCCAGCACATGAATTTGTAAATGGGCTGGGGATCTGACACCAAGTTTCCATACAGAATCTGTTCCTCTGTCTGCAGTTACCACAAATACCCCAGATATGCTGCAACAAATTCAACATGATAAATACTTTCACCAGATCTATTTAAAACCAGAGAACATGCTCAGCCCATTTTCTGTTGAATTTCGGATGAACCCTATGCAGGAGTTGGTTTTCTCATTGCCATTTTTATCCAGAGACAAAGAAGTCTGGGTAACATTTGAACTGATTGCTTCCCCACATTTCCCCTGGTCCACTGTGGAGATCCACACTGACACTCGAAGGAGTTAAATGAAAAAGCCAGGGGCCACTCTGCCTGCTGCAGGGGGAGGGATGGTAGGGGTGGCTGCACCCTGGGCACAGAGAAGTGGGTACTGTATGATGCAAACCCTCATAGGGGGATCCAGGTCTCATTTCATGTTCATTTGCTCATCACTGTCTTACCTTAGTAATGGACAGAAATGTAAAGACCTAAAGCTCTTCTAAATAATTTTTCAATTTTTTTTTTTTCTCCCCTTGCCCCTTCCCTGCCCAAGAGCAGAGGGGCCATTTGAAAAAAAGTACCTTGGATTTAGAATTCACATTCATATTCCTTGGTGAAGAAGTGCTGAAATCTGGAGAAAGACTCAAGGAAAAGTAGTCCTGACATCACATTTTGAATAGCCCATGATACTGGTTGGCTTTTTATAAGAAAGGAAATAAAACCATTTAGAAAGAAATCACACCACAAATGGTTTTACCTAATTATTCATTATTGTGTGACATCTTCATCATCCTCTACCTAGACCTTTTGGAAACAGCTTATTATTGGTGACACATTTTCATGCAGACTCGCTTAAAAAACCCACAAGCAAACCTAAAAGAATAAGAAAAACATAGTTTAAACCCATTTTACAAATGGCTCTAAAACATCCAACCCTGTCCCATCTCCTCCTTCCCCCTTCCTGCATTCTCCAGCTGGAAAAAAGACCATAAAGCAGTTTTGTGCAGTCACATGTAAATCCCCTGTCTCTGTTAAGGCAAGAGATTAGCCTGTTAACAAAGTCACCTTGTCACCTACTCTGCTTAATCCTTGCATTTCAAAGTGTAATTTTATTGAGCGCCTTGGAGCTGAAGTCTGGTATGTGCTATTTATTTATTTTGTTCCCTACATTTTTTTTTTTAATTTTAATTTACCTGGAGCCCAAAAGATTTTTTTTTTCCCTGCCCTGCTGAAACCTGTGACTTTGGGAAAGGCAGCACCTGTGCCATCTGTATTCATTTTAATACATTTATTTAACCCTTCGGGGACTGAGGTGGTGCAAAGACCCCCCTCCTCCTCCTCTCCCCACACCTTTCTGAGACGACAGTCAGACAGTCTCCACACGGTGCCTGTACGGCTTCTGCTGCAGCAGCGTATCCTGGCCATAAATCTGTCAATACAAAGAGAACAACACACACACACAAAATGTGGCTAAAACCAAGAAATGTAGCATAATTACAGGTTCATTATTGCAAACAAAAGCATCCCCCGATCCCACCCCTTTGGCAGGGACGGGAGCAATTCAAACAGGCTCATTATGTAGTTACCTAGCCAGGGTCAGAGCCTCCTGAATAGCTGTTGTGCCTCTGCTTATTATCCGGCTCCGGACGCTGGGAATGCGCCCGTTCAATCTGTGGAGGTACAGGAGCGCTGGGAGCAGTGAGGCTCCAGGTCTGCTCTCCCCTGCCCTTCCTACTTATTGTTATCTCCATCCTCAGAAGAAGATCTGCCTTTGTACTTGCTTTAAAGAGTGTTTGGCCATGGCAGAATGTGCCAGGTTGACAGCCTTGGAGACTAAAGTCTTGTGCTCATCTGTCTAGTGGGTACAGCAGGAAAAGGGGAGATGGGGTCCAGCAACAGGCATGGGAAGGGGAACAACACTTTCATCTCCTTGCCTCCTCTTGCCTGCTTCATTTCCCCTCCAGGATTGCCTGCCACAAGGCTGGATGCTGGCTGGGTGAGGCACACAGCTCCTGCAGGTTCTCCAGCAAACACCTCTCTGCTTGGAAACAGCTTGTACTGACCTGGGCTGGAAAAATTGCCGTTTTCCAAATCATCCTCAGTTTCCCAGAAATTTGAGAGCATTCATAACATGCTAAACCAACACACTACCTTGGGCTACCAGTCAAAACTTTCGCCCAAAACATCTACTCCAGCCCTGTGCAAGCCTGTGCTCTGTCCCATCACTCCTTCCCCACACCCAGCTGCTGGCAGAAGCACGAGCAGCCAGGGATGCAGCCGGTGCTTTTTGAACGTTTCCAGCCTGGGCTCCCTTTCTCACCAGGCCGGGAAGTGGTGTGAAGTCCCCTTTGACACCACGTGCCCCTTCCAGAGCCACAGCTTCCCTCTCCGATGGCCGAAGAATTGAGGAACTCCAAACGGCACCACCGAATATTCAGGGAACCTGCCAGCCCCCTTCCCCTCCGCCTGCAGCAGCGGTGAGCACCGCTCGTACCCACGCTGAGCCAGCCTCCATCTATAACCCAAATGTCAAAACATTTCCTCTTGCAGCCCCATTCGTCTCGTGGAAGCCCCGATCCCAGGTCCCAGTCGTGCTGCTTTTGGGGTCTGCCTCTCTGAGCCATTACTGCCACTGCCCCACTGTGCGCAGATAAGAATAGGCTGCTTCTTCTGACTCATTTAGCTAAAACAATGGAGCCACCAGAGGCCAAATTAATCCCTGGTGACTTCAGCAGAGTTACACCAGTCTAAATTTGGTCCCAAGCGTACAATTAGCACAGAGGAAAGCACAGTGTCATGACAGTGTCTCGGCTCTCCCTCCAGGCTTCCTTCACCAGGCTCACCCTCTTGGCAGGGCAGCTGGGTGCTCCCTCTCAGCCATCTCACTGGTCATGTCCTGCCAATTCTGGGCACTGGGGAGGGCACTCTGCAAGGGGAAAAGGCAACTCATCACCAGCAGTTTTTGCCTGGGAAGGGCAGATCCTATTTCCCTCAGTATAAAAGAAGAAAAACCTTGTCTTCCTCACCTTGGGCTTGAAAGGAAGTGAAACCCATTCCCCGTGAAGACACACCTGAAGGTATCCTTCCAGCACTGGGCATCCTCCTGATGCCTTCAGCTGGCTGAAAATCTCTCTCAGGTCTAGTCTCCAGGCCCTTTTACTTACACATCACAGGTCATTAAATTCAACCCTGAACCAGCCTTTTATCATCATTATCATCAGAATCATCATCAGTTTTGCACAACCAGATTCTCTCTAGTAATGGTTAAGTCACTGAAGTACTCTTTTTCAGCATATTTGCATTTCAAATGCTGAGAAAATGTCTCAGAAATAACACAGGAATTTTCTTTGGTTGCTCTTGGCTGACCAGGCACTAGGAGAAGTGGAGGCATTGCCTGTGTGCTCCTGCAGCCACAAAGAAATGCCACACCCAAAAAATAGAGGAGGCAGAAAAAAAAATTAATTAAAAAAATATAAAAAAGGCAGCTAACCAGAACTTTTCAAACTCTCTAAACACTTCCTCAAAAAAATGGTTTGTGCATCATGCATGAGCAGAGCCTGGATCACAGAGCTACTTCCACGTGCTTTTCCACAGTAAGGTGTGGGGAGTGCCACATCAGCAATGCCATGGTGTAGGATTGGGGCTTTGCTCAAACTGTAAGAAAATTCTTGCTGTCTTCAGAAAGTTCATGTGTGTGAGAGAGAAAAAAAAATAAGCAATGAAAAAAAAGGTCTAATAATTTAAGAAAAAGAGAAAAGAGGAACAAAGAGTGGAGTGTGGGTCTGGAGAGGGTCTGTGCTCAATGCCTCCCTCTCCATGTCCCCCTGCCTCCTCTGGCTCCACAATCTGGAGCCTTTTCAAACATTCAGACTTCTCATTCCTTTGACAATTCTTCAAAGGCTCCAGGATTTGAGGGAACTTCCTGTTTCATCGCAAACCCTCGCTTTCTTTTCCTTTTCTAGACTATTAAACCCCGCGCTAACGAAGTGGTGTTTGCCGCATGTCCCACAGCCCTGCCTGCTGCGTGACATTAAAGATACACGGCTCAAGGTGTTTTGGTCCTTACATCCCCCTTCTGACCCCTGAGTTTATTGCAGAACAAAGTCTTGTTAAGCTTGACATTGGAAAATATATTTCCTTCCTCGCATGCCCGTAGCGGTTGTTTCAGCATTGTATAGGGTTGCGTGTATTATTTTGTTATTTTAGGGTTGCTGGTGACAACTGATCTGCACACACTGCTTTGTTATTGTAGGGTTGCTTTAAAATCCTAGACTCCCAGTCTTAGTTTTATTATTTTAGGGAAAGCTAGTTTTTGAGGGTCGAAAAATAAACATGCTTAAAAAACATATCAAGATATGGCAAAGAAATGGCGTGGAGAGGAAATCCTGTCAAATCCAGGGCTGTGCCTGCCTGAGCTGTGCCTCTCCAGCACGACCACTGCTCTCACCTCTGCTCTCCTGTGGCTGTCACAACCCAGCAGCAGTGACTGACTTCTGATATTTGGCATTTTTAGAGTGCATATTAATGTTGCTGTGAAAACATCCCAGCATTAACAATTCTCAAAAGCTTGAGTTACTGTAAAAACCTGCACCAGTCGTGAAGTTTAAAAGTTCAGATAAAGGAAGAGATGGAAGGGAAGAGAGGAGTGAATGATGGCATGTGCTGGTGGCTCTCAGTGTAACAGGCAGGCATCACTCCAGGCAGGATCCCCAGTGCTGCCAGGGAACACCTGGAAGAGCTACTGGATCTCTCCATTGTCTGCTGGTGGGTGACCAGCTGTCAGAAAGACTTTAGAAATCACAGAGATTCATCCCAGCACCCATCTCACCTACAGCATCCCCAAAAACTCCTAAATTTGATCATTTAGACCAGTGTCAGAGTCCAGTCCCTGACACAACTCGAGGGCAGAGCACAGCAGTGATGGGCAAGGGCCCAGACCCTCACCTTGCCCTGGGATCATGTCTGGGTCTCGTTTTCCTCATCTTCTGAGGGAGGGGGGAAACAAGTGAGTTTGGGCAATGCAGAGAAGAAGCAGAAACATGTGACAGTGCACCCTACCCAGCAGAGCATCCACAGCTCTCTTGTGAAATGGGAGACTGAGAAGACAATGAAATTAAGGGGAGAGACTCCTGTCAAGCTAAATAATTAAATCCCAGGGTACATAATTGATGGGCTCTTGATGTGGACCCTAAATCATTTACAAAGCTGGTGCATCACCCGACATGTGCAGCTCTGGCATGGCAAGAGCAAGGGATGAGCAGCTCCCGCAGCCAAGTGAACTGAGCAGGGCAGTTCTGGTGTGGGTCACACTGCCCAGGAACACAGTCCCAGGGCCTGGGCTGCCTTGGGGTGCTGCACCTGCCTGCTCCCTGCTTCTCCTGCTCAGCAATCAGGTACCTTACCACCAAGCTGTTCCACTTGTTTGGCCTTATGCTCTGGTAGACAAGAGTAGCTCCACCAGCCTGGGAAATAGGTTCACATGGCAGGACACAGAGATATGAGACGGAGATGCTGCTCTTTCTCTGCCATGACTTTTCACCCAGCTTCAACAGAACACAACCTCAGCTGAATCTTAAACTTCAACACAAGATACCCAGTACTACTGTAACATGCACAGGTTTTTTTCCATCAGTATAGAGTCAAACATGCACATGGTCTGCTGGATACAAACATCCCTGCCCAGCACTGCTTGGGAACAGCTCTTTCAAACTGCTCCTTCCCCTGCAGCTATGCTGATCCATGTCCCTAGCCCAGAGAGATGGAGTAATCAATACACAAACAAACTGCTGAATTAAACAGGGCCAGTGGGGACAGGGCTGTGCTGTGGACGCAGTCCCTGGGGTTTCTCTGCCTGGGCTGAGGAGAAGGATGCAGACCCAGCAGCTGACTGCACTATCTCATAAGAAAGACATCAATCTTGAGGTCTTTTTTCACTGTCAGTTATCTGCAACGCTCCTTCCTGCCCCATCAGTTGCAGAAGTCAAATGGCACCATGCATTCCTATTCTGGCCTGGTTCTTTTATTTTCTTTTTTATTTTCTCTTTCTATACTCCGTCATCAAGAAGAGCTCTTTCTGCCCTTCTCATGCCTCCCTGTGACCCTGCCACCTGCCTTGCAGGAGCACCAACATGTGTCATGAATCTTCTGGGCATCACCAGCTGCCTGGCCTGGTGGCAAGAACATGGAGCAGGAGCACAACGCAGGCTGTCTGCTGTCCCAGACCTGGAGAGCAACAGATCGGCTCCATGCTGAAAAATATCACTGTCCCTCCTAGTTGCCCCCTGCTCCCAGTGTTTTGACAGTCAGCTTGATGAGCTGAGTGTGTTAACAGTCACCCAGAGCCCCCACTGGCTCCACTCCACCCTGTGCCCACCCCAGGCATGCGCTGTCTGCCTGACACTGCCTACAAACTCTATTAGCTTTGTAATT